CTCTTGCATGATTTTAAAGCAAAATGAAATAGATGAAAAACCAAAAATGCATATCATCTTTACAACAGAAACATAAATTAGTCTTAACCAACAATTAGACACTTAAAAATATAAATGTAAGACAACATTTTAGAACGATAAACTATAATTAGACTCCTGAATTCTCTTCCCAGAATGTTTTTACAAACACAAAATAGCACAAGCATAGAAAACATATATCTAAACAAAGATAATTTCCTCTTTATCAAAAACAAAAGAACCTGAATTCAAATTTAATATGATAGACCAAGGTTAAGGTACTGGTGTTTAGGAGTAAAGAGCTTCTGAGATTTATGCATTTGATTAAAATGCAAGAATAAAACTAATACAGAAGTATATGGTAAATGTCATAATGAAGAATATATGTCAGGAAATATGAATTCTAAAATTTTACTTTAACAAGACACTCAATATGTTGCAGTGGTACAGTAAATTTCCAAAAGAATGCAATTGGCTACCTCTCAAATCTTGAAATAATATTTCTTTAATGAATATGCTATCACATAACCAGACATTTTGCAGCATTAATCATTGCATGGGAGGTAAATGAAATGATGAATATCAGCTTGGAAACTAGATTAGCTTATGCATAGTATTTCATAGTTTTTTCTTTCGTAGGACAGTTTAAAAAATTCGAAAATAAAGCACTCATTTCACTCATGATTCATTGATAATACAACATAGCTAATCAGTAACAAAATATATCTGTACTTACAAGGTGTGTATAAAAGCTTATCTTTGGACCCATTGTTTTATTGTTGTTGTTATGCAGAATTAGACTTTTATTTACATATTATTGTGAAAATTGACTTCCAGAAATTGAGAATTTTGAGCAGTTAACAATGCTCACAACAAATAAATACTATTGCCTTTTTTTTTTTAAACTGGTGAGGGTGGAATTCCTGTGTGAAAATTACATACCCAGTGGTCCCATTTTCCATATATCCCTCAGTTTATTTCAGCCTCCCATCGAGTTCTGTTATATGCAATTGTCTCAGGTTTTAAATCAGACTGTATCATCAAACATTCCAAGTCCAACATCACAGAGACAACAGTGGTAAAGCTTAATTTATTTGACTCTAAAATAAACTAGTCCTCTCCACTGTGCTGACACATGATGGAAGTGTCAGTGTCTAATTCTTACTGTTTGGTAATAAACTCCTGTGCTGCAGAGGTCGTGTTTCCTTGAGTCCTCCCCACCGCCAAGAGCTTCTTCAAAGCTGGATGGAGTGATCTCCCCCCAGTTTCGGTTAGCTTTGCTTGCAGAATGTGACTTCTGCTATACTATATGTGCCAGGATTTGCCCAAATCATCGTCAGTACTTTTTATTTCTTGCCTTCTGTTGTACACTAGGACTTATTTTTCTTTATGTTTAAATTGGAACTCAGTCTCTTCGTGTCAGTAGAGTTTGGCAATTTAAAAAATAATTTTAAGAAGGGTTCTTTAAAACTCTGGGAGATAGCAGTTCATATTTAAAGATGCTCATTATTAATTTCAATATGGAATGATTTGCACTTGTTATTAACACGTTAAGACAGCCAAAGAAAAATTAGAAGGTGACTCACCAGGATACATTCAAGTGTGGAGTGCAGAAATTTGGAGAAGAAAAGTTAATCTTGATGAGCTGAGGATGTGTTTAAGAAAGATCTAGCCATGGTGAAGTTTGTTTCTTAATGTGCCAAATAGCTGGTACACTGATACAAAACTATCATCATCGGGGAATACACTATAATACTCTGGTGTATGGACTGAATAAACAAAGTTGAACACACGTTATCATAAAGTTATGGCTTAAATAATTTAACATTCTGTTATTGAAACAGCAGATATTGACAATTAGTGAGAAGTCGTAGACATGTGTTGTTAAAGTCGAATGAAAATTATCTACTGTGGCTTCTTTAAGAAAAATGTATTTATCACCCAGGAAAAATCATGTCATATTTATATTCTCTATATAATCATATATGCGTGACTCAGCTGGAAAATAAATCTGTCAATCACCAACATTTTCAATTCTGTGCCTCTAGATCAACTTCATTTTTGTCAATGAGAAAAATACTGGTATTTTTGTTTTTTTGTTTGTCTTTTTCTCCAATTCAAGATTGACTTGTAGGGTACCAGCCTGGTTAAATGCTTAGAAACCAACCAAGTTGGTTTCATGGATTATGCCACCATTTTCTTCTTTATTTTAAAAATAATGGGTTGCTTCAGTGGATATTGCATTTATCCTGACTCGTTCATTTCATGTTACTGATAATTGACAGGATTAATCTGCAAGGAGCCTAGTCTTCAGATCACCTGAGGGAAGGAATAAAATATCGGTATAGGATTGGGATCCTATTTTCTCAAGATATCATGGTACTTTTTCTTCTACTCTTGTTCTTTTTTTTTAAAAACAAAATTCACTCAATGAACAATTTTCTATGATACAATTATTGGTATGTCAGTTGCTTTAGAAATGTTTGTGATGGAGAGGGTGAGGAGTAAATGTAGGGATGTCTATTAAAAAGCAAATAAAGTCATGTGAACTTGGACTTCATAATGCCTTTTGGCACAGGTCTGTATCCTAAAGAGGATGTTAATTTCTTACTATGGAAGAAGTTATTTTTAAAAAAGCAAATTCTGTCTGGTAAAAATGAAAATCATTAGCAATTCTATGCTTTGCACAGAATAAAAATGTTGGAGCACAAATTAAAATCAAGTTTTGTAAATAACTTGCAAAATGGATGAACAATGTTTCTTTAACTTCAATAGCTTAAGAGGGTTGGGGAATTATTTTCATATTGATATATGGGAAATTACATTTCAACTGTTTTCTACTCTTTTCCCAAAAGTATGCAAATAAAACGTTAATTTTTATATGAGAGTGATTTTTAAAGCACAAGCAGATTTTTTTGAGATTTTTCTCTATAGTGGCCAATTTTGCATGAAACAAATTATTTTAGGCCTAATTACAGTCAGAGTACTTAGGCTTCTGGCTCTGCTAAGGTTGAATTTTATTTGAACTTTCTAATAGTATGATCTTTTTTCAGAATTTAATAACTGACTCAAATATTTAATAGTGGAAGCTTTCATTAAATTAAAAAGAAATCAGAATGTATTTTTAGAAGAACTAACTTTCTTTATCAGCTCTGTCTGCTTTAGGGAAAAAGGAAGAGAACAGAACAATCTCTTTGTGTACTTAAATAGACATTAATGCTATAACCCCAGCAAATAACTTATTTTTGTTATATCATCATTCAAAAGATTGGGGGAGCGCCAAATGGCAGTGATAACTAGACTTCTAGCTTTGCTGAATCTCAAATTACACCGACTGTGTGTACTCCTTCACTCATCTGCTGGGTGATCACTCTTTTTAATACTCCCATATATTTTCTAGATGAGTGTTTATATAGCACACTGTCAACTTTTGCATTATCTAACAGATTTTGATAAATACAATGGCTTGTTTTGAAATGCAAGTGGGGAAAGATGAGAGTTGTAAGATTTTGTTTCCATGTGTCACTCTATAAATAGATGACAAAAACATCATTAAATGGATTAATTTACAAGCATCCTTAGAAATAGAATGTTTTTACATGAAAGCATGCTGTAAACCTTTTTAATTAAAGTGCGTTGTGCCATGCACTCTCTTGCCCACCAGGGTCCTTCTGACCTCTGCCCTCTTCCTTTGTCCTGCAGGCACTCCACTGCTGGTGAGAAGAAGCAGTGACCCAGTCCCCAGCCCACCTGCTGACGCCCAGCCAAGCACTTCACACCCTGGTGGCCAGAGCGTAAAACCTGTTGTTCCAGTAGGTACCCGGCTGGTTGCATTTCTAATAAAAGATCAAAGTACCCTACTCATAGTCTAACTGGGACTTTGCAGTCTTAACTAAATCGATAATTAGATAGAGATCTTTCAATGGATATACAGCCCGATAGCTTGGTAAAACCTGTAATTTATACATCGTTACAGTGATAGCTGTTATCTATGTAGCACTGACTATGTGCCAAGCACTGTTTTAAGTGCTTTGCTAAACTCCTCTAGATGTCCACTTCAAGGTGAGAACAAGTTTTTGTCTCTCTTTTGCTGATAATGAAATTGAGGCAGAGAAATTCAGTAATTTATTTAAGGTCACCTCTCTAATGATCGCCAGAGCCAGGAATTTCACACAGGTGGTCTGGCTCCAAAGTCCATGCTTTTAACCAGCACACTATATATACTGTTGCGTTTGCTTCATCCCCTGCCCCCCACATCCAAGTACCCAGGGTACAGTTCATATACGTTTGCTGTGTTAGTGCAGTCCTTTGCAAAGTCCTACTGTGGTGAGGGATTTCAAGCTTCCAATATTAAGGATATGTCATACCTGGACTGGATTTCTATAAATCAGCGTTCAGTTGAAGAAAAATAAGATTATACACCCAAAGTACTATAACCAGATACACTTTTAACTGCTATGCTTGTAACCAGTAGATTAAGTGGAGAATAATTTCCTGACGTGACGCTATCCTCCTTCCATTTAGGGCCATGGCATCATTCTGCTAAATCCTCAGCTGCTTTGAAGAGCTGTAATTGTGGATAATCCTTTCAAATAGCCTGAGAGTTAGATTTTGATTAATGGCTAGGTATCATTGAAATAGGCCATCTTCAATAACGATATTAAAAAGTTTTTTAAGTGTAAGGCGGTTTCTCGTTTTAAAACTCTGCTGTCTATAATGCTGTAAGGAAAAATCAAATCACCTTGGGGGTGTTTAAGGATGCTGTATTAGTTAAACAAATTCTCCCGGATTGGTCTTGTCAGGAACCAATGCCAATGTGTGTGAAATAGGAGTCACGGTACGGAATCACTGGCTACTTGGGTGTTTACTGATAGATTTGTGGCAACATTTTGGCTTATTTATTTTCTTAAACAAGGAAGCAAATGTCTTGTATTTATTTTAGATGTAGAACTTTTTCAGTATCCTATTTAAAACTCTTATCCTTTTAAGGAACTATATTTACTGGAACATTAAAACACGCATGCACATGCACACGCACACACACTGATGGAGACCATGCTGAGCCTAATTATATTGGACTGGGGGGAGAAAACTATTAAATGAGAGAAGAATCACATGAAAGAGAAGAACTAGGATTCAGTGCTTATCTTTATGTCTATAGTCCCTGAAGTGAGAGGGTGTCTGATTAACATGTGACTGTGATGTGCAGGCAGAGAATCCACCAATGTTTATTTCCATGTTTCTATTTCTGTCATTCTGCGCTTAAACCAACCGCAAGGCATCAATATCGCCTTTCCTGGAAGAAATGGTGGCTGCTGTCTTTCTCATAGATTCTGTAGCCAATATATAACATCAGAGAGTTCCAAGTTGGGGTATAGGGAGATATGTTACTACTAGCAAAAATGCATGTCATAATTCAGGAAGAAATGCTGGCAACCAAAACCCTTGCACCGTACCCTTACACGAGTTATCAAACATGGGCCAAGATTCCAGCAGTAAAAAGGAAAGCAGGCGTGTTCCTTTCCTTGTCGTCTTTTCTGTGGATTATGGAGAAAAAAACCTGAGACTTAAAAAGGAGTCTAGCCCTTGCGTTTGTGTGGAATAGTGGCCTATGTGAGGGTTCTATGGCTTCAATTTTGAAATAATTTCCATGAAGCCTGTAAGGCTTAATATTGCAAGGTATAGGTATTGTGCCTTATTTATCTTTCTTATTCTAGTGTCCAGGACCAAGAAGGTGCTCAGCGTGTGTTTTGGACACTTCTAAGTCTGGGGAAAGTCCTGAAAGTTCTTAGCAGTTAACCAGCTTATTAATTAATCTAACCCATCCATTCTCTCCGTTGCCCCCGAAGAGTAGTCTACCAGATCAATGTTTATCTGCTCCAAAGTATGGTTCGCCCCAGGTGGGAGAAAGATACTCTCACTGCACTATTGTGAGAGAGTGTTGGTAAGGACAGTTAGGTATAACTTTTTTTTTAACCCAGAAGAAAGATGTGTCTATGTTGTGTATTGTAATTTTAGTCACATGCCCCCGTATATCCAAACTCGTGCACTATTCAGACCTACGGCTGGCCAGTATACGGTGGCCACCAGCCACACGTGGTTAGTGAGTACTTGAAATGAGTCTAATCCCAATGGATGTGTGTTTTAAGTGCAATTCACATACAGGATTTCAAAGATTGTAGTGTGAAAAATACAGTGTAAAAGGTCTCCTTAATAATTGGTATATATTATCTATTATGTGTAAACAACACGTTTAGTATATTAGGTTGAATAAAATACATTATAAAAATTATCTTTCACCTGTTTCTTACTTTTTTCTAGCATAGCTATAAGAAAGCTTAATATTACATTTGTGGTTCTTATTCTGTGTTTGTTAGACAGTGCAGCTCCAGGCAGAAGTAGAACTGGATGTAGTACTAATGAAATCATTTCAGATCCTCAGGGGAAGATCTCTGAGCTCCATATCATCTCTTGGGCAATAGCATGAGTAGGTTTTCTTAGGGTGGTAATGGTCTGTGCCTCTTGTTCCGGCATAATTATTCATGGTGTCTTTACTAACTCTGAGGTGTCCGCGTGTGGGTGATAAATTACATGATACCCTACATATGGCCCTATTGTCACTTTTTTTTTTGTTTGCTCGGTACTCAGAGAAGCAGCCTGTCCAGGAAACCAGGGGGATGTAACAGCCACACTCTTGATCTGCACAGTGCAGAGGAGGTTCTGTGTTGCAGGGCCTGAGCCCAGAAAGCGCAGCCTTAGAGATGTGATATTTCTCTCCATCTCGAAAAAATTCTCTAGCGTATAATTTTTCCTAATGTTTCATCCACAGCTTCAGCTGTATCATTCTTGGTTCCTGTGATTCAGTAAGTGATGATGAATATGGAGAGTGTGTGATAATTAGCCACATAGCAACGAGTATGAAAAACAGTTGCTTGAAAAGCCATGTCAATTGCATTTCAGTCCAATATCCGAGGGAAGAAAACAATCAAAATTTCCATCCCTCAAACAGAGTGTTCACATGTGAGCAATTCACAGATGGCAGAGCCCCAAGTAGGTTATGTTCAATCATTCCCAAGAAGTGAAACTTACTTATAACCCCCAGCATAAGAAGCTGTAAGGATGAATATTTGACACATTTGATTATGTTGAAATATTGCCTTTAAAACCACAGTTGATGACTGTTATTTTTAGTTGCACTTCATTAGGCTTACCGAAGAGAGAAGAATTTTCACTGATGCCCAGAGATATGTGTTTTTGAAAAGCTGGAAAAGTTATACTTTTTTTCTGGCTGATTAAGTTATTACAAATTGGTTATTTAAAGTGTACGTTCTCAGACTTATTGGAGTTTTGAAAAAGTAGAAAAAATCAAATTCTCTGCAAGCTTCAAATTTTGTATACATTGAGAAACCTTTAAATCTCAGTATTTATTACTTAGAATGCCACCAGACTCCCAGCGTGGAAATGTTTCCCTTCCTCCTCCTCTCACAAACGTACCCAGTTATCAGAATAGTACAATTATTAATGTGCAAATGGTAATGGCTATTTCTCTTTCAAGGTAATAGCAAATATAATTCTACCGACTGCTTTTGAAAGAGAATCTAAGGACCAGGATATTATAGTGAGAGTCTGCTTAGGGGATGTCTTACCTTCCTTTCTTTGATTGTGACCTAGTGCTCCTGGCTTAAGGGCAGGCCATAAAACTCACGTCTTGAAGTTGATGTTCCCAAACTTACAGATGGAACAGAACTCTAAAACAGATGTGATTTTTTTTTCTTAATATCCGGTTAACTACCATGGTTGTTTTGTGTTTTAATGACTGTTTATAGTTTTGAATTTGACCCCTAAGGCAAATTGATCCTGCAGGGTGAGTAAATTAAAAGGTAGATTCCGGAAAATTATAATGTAATGGTTGTAATGACATTATTTGTTCTAAAATCGTTATTTTGCTTATATCACCAGAGTAAAGACAATTTTTATCTCTTAAAGCTTACTGTCTAAAATACATACATTTTATTTTTTTAAAAAACTGGCAATATTTGAGCTCATTAAATTGGAAGTCCACGGGTGGATTTTAAGGGGTCTTTATGCCTTGGCATGGTCTAGAGGTGTGTATATGTGTGTTTCATGAAAGAGACTCTATCATTATTCAAATATTAAAACAGCAAAAAATCAAGAACCACTGATTGGGTGTCAGATTAAATAATGTAGGGAGGTCACCAATTCCCAGAGTATGAAGAAGGATAGAGGGAAAGAATGATCACCTCCTCCCTGCAAATATGTTTCAAGCAATTAATATTATTTCATCATATCATCACCTTTTTATACAACATACAGTATGTAAATTCAGGATTTTAAGATGAATAAAAGTTTCTGAATTTCAACATAGTGGTTAGCAACTCTAAAGTTGTAGATAAAGCATTGGTTGTGGGGAGAAACCCTAAGGAAGTGTTTCAGGTCATCCTGTGTGTTCTACTGGGACAAGGAGTGAGTGAAAATGTTCTTTGAAGTTTAGGATATTTCATCAGTAAAGGTAGCGGCAGGCAGCTATCAGTGAGAGAAAACAGTCCCGCTAATTGGCAGCCTTCTCTTTGTATCTTACATATAATTTGTGTAGTATTGGTTTGAAAAATTATTTCTGCTTTATGTATCACAGATCTTCCCATGTATGTCATATGTATTGAAATTATACTTGATGTTACTCCTGGATTAAACCTTCTCAAACCCATGGAAAAATTGTTTGCTTGAAATTTAAATAGCTTGGTGCTCTGGAGGAGGACGTTTGCTGTGTGTTGCTGACTATCAAAGTCTAACA